CCGTGGCCGCGTACGCGCAGAACTACGCGGAGCAGCGCCGCGGCGACTGCCAGCTGATACATACTCCCGATGGCCGGCCCTACGGGGAGAACCTCTTCGGAGGCGGTGGGACCCAGTGGACGGCGGCGGACGCCGTGAACTCGTGGGTGTCGGAGAAGCAGTACTACGACCACGGCAGCAACAGCTGCTCCGCCCCGGAGGGCGACTCGTGCGGGCACTACACGCAGGTGGTGTGGCGTGACTCGACGGCCATCGGCTGCGCCCGCGTCGTCTGCGACAGCGGCGACGGCGTGTTCATCATCTGCAGCTACAACCCGCCGGGCAACTACGTGGGGCAGAGCCCATACTAGGCTATGCATGCATGCATTCGTGCGTGCATGTACGTAGCAGCGCGTATATTGCATAAAGAATAAAGCTGAGATCACAGTCGTGATAAGATGTGAGACTTTAGCAGGAGAGATTCAAGGTAAGTGTAGTTTAGACTGGCTATGGATATTGTGTTACGATTCATGTGAGTTGTACGATCATTAATTGTAGGTGCCTGCTATGCAGTGCTTATGAATGAAAATAAAGTTTTATTATCAGGGGTGAAGCTAGAGAGAAAAAGAATAGCCTAGGTGTATAACTTTAACATTAACATAACGATTAATGTATTTCTTAATCAAATACATGTACTAACAATAACGTCAATAGTTGGATGGGATCTGATTGGATGCGCTCCCACAGGGACGCCTTGAGCCAGGTGCCATATAGCATACCTAAGGCCTTGTATAATAGAAGGTGCTTAGAAAAAATAAATCATGTTTTTCTGAAGCACCGGTGCCTATTTCCACATGAGAGACGCTTAGTTAAGCGTCTACCCTGTACAAATAAGCATCGATGCTTAAGAAAAGTTTGGTTTATTTTCCTAAGCACCTTCCCTAAGCACCTTCCATTGTACAAGGCCTAAGGCGGATCACCCGAGCCAGGTGCCATATAGCCATCCGCCCTGGGTGCTCAGAGAGGAACTCGTGCATGTGCTCGGAACTTTTGCCAGAAACAACAGAATATATAACACACACCCGACGTACCATATTTGCTTATAAAATGGAGAAAAATCCTAGACGGCATATATGGTAATAAATTATACTATTTTCATTTAATATATTGCATGATCATTTAATTTAACAGAATGATATTATACTGACCTATTGAGCTAAAATAGAGCGAGCCAGTATTGGCTCAAGATCCGCTCGTTTCCCGACCGAGCAACATATAAAGTGATCATACTTAGCTCGTTTCTTTTCGAGTCGATCTTGAGCGGCTCACGAGCCTCGAGCTTTTCTTGCAGCTCTAACTGCTACTGGTGGGCCCGAGGGCTACTGAAGGAACAATGGATAATAGGGTATACACAAAAGTTAGGTATCCAAGTTTCCTCGGAAATATCTAGCGCTGGGAAAAGGATAACCACGATAAAAAATATACCTTGGTACATTTACTTCATGCCGGAACTGCAAATTGCGGGTCACACGCGGTAAAAGATGTCACAAGATATCCCCCAAGGGGCCCATGACGCTAGCCATGATGCACTCGGGGCTGAGCCCCTGAGCACACGGGACACACGTCAACCAAGAAGGGTGGCCTTGCAAAGCACTCCACCGACTAGGCATTTAATGACCGATCGACCTACCCCGCGTAGCCCGGCGCAGGGCTACGGGTAGGGCCCTCATCAAGACGACCCAGAGGGATGGATGACAAGACCGAACATTGGTGCGGCATAAAGAAGGAGAAGGGCGGTGTGGCGCGTCACATCAAAGGAAATACTTGAGCACCTGACACAATCCAGTGTCAGCTCATCTACTACAATATGACAGAGACAAGTGGAACGCAATCGACCAACCATTATTGTATATCTTCACATGTATTTTTGTAGACCAAATGTGGTGCCCCTAAGCCTCTATATATGGGGATGGCCAAGGTTGGAAAGGATACAAGCTTCTTAGCAACCACAACACTACCAGCAACTACAAGCCAACCGAAGACTAGCAGATAGGTGGAAGAGTAGAGTTAGGAGTGTTCGGGCACTCTAGCTAGTACCCCGACCACCGCTGGACTCACCCCGACCACCACCTTGTAACACAAAAGCACTTGTACTCCCCAGTTTATATCAATACCAAGAGGACGTAGGGTTTTACGCTAACATGACGGCCTGAACCTGTATAAAATCCCCCTGTGTCATTGTGTTCTTGTGTGCCTTTGCCTGTAGGATTGACAAGGCGTTTAGCACCTGGCCGAACTGAAAAATACAGGGTTACCTTGATCCCTTGTGTCCTGAGTACACATTCTGACAACCCAATATTGCACACGGCTTGTGCTGGTGAATCGGCTGTGCTATTTCTGTTCATCGCAGACAGCTCTGTCAGCTTAACTGTATACCATATATCGCATATGTATTTTGTTTATGAATTGTGCATGAAGCCATCGCACACGTAACTTTTTCTGTCTGATGATTTTATTTTTCTACCTTCTACGATACCCAGCATCACACACAAGTCAATTCGATCAAAGGATGTGTGATATGTGCGTCTTCTTAGCAGGGTTCTGCACCAGTGAAGAGAACAATGGACGAAGCTACTACACATCGGCGTGCAGAGGTAATCTCAGAAGATATAAGAGCAACTCCAAAGGGCCGACCTATTTCGTCCAGCTGCGTCCGTTTGAATCGGCGCGGACAAAAGTAGCGGCTCAACGCGCCGACCCAAACCCAGATCACGCCCGCGTCGCGTCCGCGCCGACGCATTTGCGGCCCAAATTTGCGCCACAAATGCATCGGCGCGGACGCCGAACTGACGCTTCGCGCGCCTTCTCGCTATCCGCCGTGCCCCCACATAGCAGCCGTCCAACTACCCGCTGCCCACGCGGTCAGCTTAATTTATGACGATGGGCCCACGCGTCAGCGACGGCGCTCGTCCTTTTTTAAGCCGACCGTGCGGCGGGGCCGTCCTCATCCAAACTCGCCGTCCACATCTGCCCACCTTTGCTTCCTCGTCGCCGCCAAACCCTAGCCACCACAACCACAACGAGATGGGCCTCCCACCTCGTCGCAGCAAGGCCAAGGGCAAGTCACCCGCCACCCCTTTCCCCTCCGAGTTCCTCCCACCTCCGCCGGCGCCGGCGCCTCGCCGGCAGAGGCAGCGCGTCAACGTGCCAGTGCCCCAGGCGGAGTGGCACTGGCAGAACCGGCAGCCTCTGCCGTATCCGGACGTGACGTTGCCGCACGACTGGCATCTGGATCCAAATAGGATCCCAGTGCCGGCGGCGCCGCGGTCGGCTCGTGCTCACACGGAGGAGGTGCGGCGCCAGCGGGCGCTGCTGACGCCGGAGCAGCGCGCCGACCCGGCCTACGCAACCGACTCGCCCAACTGGGCGAGGTGGTTCGCCTTCGAGCACGAGGAGGCGAGGCGGCAGGGCGTGCACGAGGTCGACCGGAGGTTGCCGCCAACACCGCTCGTCGTCCGTGATGAGGACCAGGCGGCTCTTGCGGCCGTCTACTGGGAGAGCGAGGAGGACGAGCAGCGCAGAGCGGAGGCGGCGGAGGCGGAAGAGGAGGCCCGATACGAGGCGGCAATGGCGCAGGCCCTTGCCCTCTCCGCGGCGGGCGACAACGTGGTGCCACCGGTGGCCCCGCCGCCCCCCATCAAGCCGGAGCCGCAGCCGGGGCCTGAGCCCGAGCCCATCGCGCGCTTCTCTTGGAATGGATTGGTGCGCGAGTGGGTGTCCGCGTCACCGGTTTGGCTGGGGACGACGCCGACGCAGGAGCAGGCGTACCTCGAGATGTGGCGCCAGCGCCGGCTGGCAGAGGAGCGCCTTGACGGCGAGTACGAGGAGATGCTCGAGCGCGACCTCGAGGAGGAGCAGCGCGAGGCTGAGGAGGAGGCGCGCCAGGCCGCGGCTGCACAGGCAGCCGCACCCCTCCTCCTCCCCCCTGCCCCGGCACTGCCCGACATGACGGCGCTCTGGAACACGGCGTTCGCCTGGGCCGGGCCGGCGCTGACGCTCATCGACCTCACGGACCCCGAGGACGACGACGGCGACGCCTAGGGCAGCGCGCTGCCTCATAGTTTATTAGATTGTTTTTTAATGCAAATGTGGACGCGTGGACTCTCGCCGGCCTTCGTGGCCGGCTTTAATGTTTACGTTCATTTTTTTTCTGCATCATCAAAATGGGTCTCAGGTCAGCGTTGGACGCACGCGTCGATTCAAATGCGAAAGCGGGCATCCGTGTCCGTCTGTCCGACCCAAACTGATAAAAAACGGACGGAATCGCGGTCCGTTTGGGTCGGCCCGTTGGAGTTGCTCTAACACGTTACAATTTTTTCCATCGGACAAGGAGCAAGACAAGTCGAAGCGACTACTACACGTCGGCGCGCAGAGGTAATCTCAGAAAGATGACACGACTGACCAACGAAAGAGGAACGCACTGTTTTCCACAGTTTGCACTTATCTCGGTGTCAATAATACTCCGGCGATCGCGGCCGGACAAATGAGTCGTCTAGAACCGACGACTAGAGAATTTGGAAAACCTCCATTCCACAATGCCGAGCTAATTCCTTTTCAGTTTCTACTAGTCAAATATACTTGAGTTTATCCCCCCTCTCCCTGCCTATCGGACACGCAGGTGCATGGAATTCCTGCCCTCTCTTGGAAAATACTACTCCAGTGCAGGCGTTTGGAGTATCAGTTAAGTTACTTGGATTGAATTTGTCAAATTTGACCAGTCAAGAATCCCTATATTTTATTGAACTCCTTTTTGCAGAAACACAGTGCAAGGAAATCAAATTATCTGAGTCCTCGATTGGTTCGCAACTTTCCAAGCTTAACTAGTTACCCTAAACCTAAGGAAGCCATCGAGCTTATACAGTATAAATACACGAGCAATGGTCGCAGCCTATCTCATCAACACATTCACGGATAGTAGCGGATAGTACACCTTTCCTTAGCTTCGTAAGGCTTAACTAGCGATGGAGTACTCGCCGAAGCTATCAGTTGTACTGCTCTTAGCTCTCGCGTCCGCCATGGTGGTCGTCACGGCCCAGAACTCGCCGCAGGACTTCGTGGACCCCCACAACGCGGCGCGCGCCGACGTCGGCGTCGGGCCGGTGACCTGGGACGACAACGTGGCCGCATACGCGCAGAACTACGCGGAGCAGCGCCGCGGCGACTGCCAGCTGGTGCATTCGGGCGGGCAGTACGGGGAGAACATCTACGGAGGCCGCGGCGGCGGGGCCGACTGGACCGCCGCGGACGCCGTGCAAGCGTGGGTGTCGGAGAAGCAGTACTACGACCACGGCAGCAACAGCTGCTCGGCGCCGGCGGACAAGTCGTGCTTGCACTACACGCAGGTGGTGTGGCGCGACTCGACGGCCATCGGCTGCGCCCGCGTCGTCTGCGACGGCGGCGACGGCCTGTTCATCATCTGCAGCTACAACCCGCCGGGCAACTACGAGGGGGTGAGCCCATCTAGGCTATGCATGCGTGCGTGCATGTACGTAGCAGCGCATATATTGCATAAAGAATAAAGCTGAGATCACAGTCGTGATAAGATTGTGACACTTTTGAGAGTGCGGCTAATCTGCACCCGGGCTCATCTGCACCCACGCTTAGAAAAAAATTCAAAACAAATACTAGAAAAATTCAAAAAATTCTAAATTTTTTTGTGGTGGTAGATAATTTGACGCGTGAGGTGCGCCCCAAAATTCAACTCATTTGAGCATCTGAGAAGCTCTCAGCAAAAAAGACAAAATCAGGGTCTGTAAAAATGTATACTGTTCACGCACTGTTTTGACCCAATTTGTCTTTTTTGCCGAGAGCTGCTCAGATGTCCAAATGAGTTGAGTTTTGGGGCGCACCTCACGCGTCAAATTATCTACCACCACAAAAAAATTTGGAATTTTTTGAATTTTTCTAGTATTGTTTTTGAATTTTTTGCTGAGAGGGAGCAGATGAGCCCGGGCACCGTTTTAAGTTTTCCCACTTTTGAAGATTATTGGATTCTGAATATCTATTATTGCCTCGAAGGACTGTTTATATAAGATAAAAAACTTGGGGGCCAAGGATAGTAGAGATAGATTACAACTTGAACTACCA